TCTTTTTTTTATATTTTAATTTGAAATTTTACAGTTTTCGATAATATGTTGAAAAAAATTGTCACTTAATGAAGGGTACATTGGATGATGATGAGCAGATGGACAACCCCTATTTTGAAATGGAGTCGTCGAGATCGAAAGATTAAGTCTTAACAATGTACATTAAACTTGAAATTAACCCATTACTTCACATTTCCTAAATTCTAGAGGGCTGAGCTCTAGTGATATCCAAATAAAATTTTATTATAATTCTTTTTAAATATTCATTTTTTGGTGTTTAAAAGTCAAAAATTTAGTTGCCTTATTGCAACCATCTTAGATAAGGGCAGGGATAGCCTGGTTGGTAGGGCACAGGGCCCATGTACAAGAGGTCGTGGGTTCGATCCGCACCGGCCAAAGATTGCCCGTAAAGTAAGTGATGACTGATGCACATTAAATCTGTCGAGTCGCAAAGTCCTCCATGTTCCCATAACCTGTGGGGTACTGATCCAGAAGTTTCCTTGTTCAAAATTTACAAGGCTACGGTGTTGAACATTATTAAAAAAAGAGTTAATAACTGTTAATTTAAAATATTTGAACATTTTTACGTCCATTACATTACCGTCCGTTACATTAGTTATGTGGGACTCTTCCCTCCTCATAACCTTCTTACAAAAGGATCATGAATTTGAATTCTCCGTCGAGCTAACGGAAGAAGTCTTTCGTGGTTTTCCTCTCCATGGAGTGCAAATCCGGGTTAGTTCGATCAGAAAGTTCTCCACGAATGCTAGCTTGTCCGAGTACTTGATCCGAGAGTTCCTTGATTTTTGTGTTGGGTTTAAAATGACAAGGCTATGGATTTGATAATTAATTGTCTTAAACTCAGAATTGGGTCGACTGTTCAACGCAGATTAAAAAATATAAAAATTATTGGAACTATATTTAAGAAAAGGCTCTCAAACCATTGAAGATCTTAGTACGATTTAAATCTGATCATTAGATCAAAAGTTATTTAAGGTGATTCATTATTTACTTATTTTGCATGTTGTACTACATAACTCTATTTGAAAATAAGTAACCAGAGGTTTAAAACAGGTTCAAATTCAATTGAATGCTGAAAAACAAATGGCATTTTTTTTGAAAAAAATAATAAAAAACCGACAATGATCAATACAAACAATTTATAATTTGAATCGTATAATTACCCTAAACATAAAAAATCTTAAAGCCAAATTTTAATTCTGATATCATATTATCTTTCTATAAAATTTCCCAATAAGTATAATTTGAAATGACAAATGGGAACCATTTAGATAATTGGTACAATTTGTACTCATAAGATGCGTAACATAGATAATGATTTATTAGTCCCACTGCACCTCATTTCTAACAAACAAAAGAACTCATTATTTGAAATCAATTATCTTAACTTACTCATCTTCGAAATATTTATTTTTCTTCTCAGAGCAATTTGGATTTGACCTTCTAACGTAACTACTAGTAGTAAAGTTGATGGCGATAGATGCTATGAAACTCTTTCAGTTATTTTCGACTTAATTTTATTATAATTGCTCCTTCAGTTTTTTGTTTTTATTTTACTTTGATGTTTTCATAATATTGAATCTTAAGCATATGAATGATGATCGTATTTAAGTAAGTAAGCGGTGTAATTAATAATACGAATAATATATTGTTGGAAAGAATAACTGAAATCACTAGCAGTTTATCTAATTACATGCATAAAGCGTGAAAAAGTAATTAATTTGCACAGCTCACATCTAAAAGAAATAAGTATTGAAATAATATTGAAAAGAAGAAATAGTTCTATTCATTGATAACATATTAAAAGCGAATCAAAATAACTAATGAAAAACTTTTATTTCAAAATTAACAAAAATTTAAAATGTGTTCATATTATTGAATTAGCAACTAAGTTCTCATAATTTTTTTTAATTTCAACATACCACATGCTTTTAAATGCTATGGGTATAATGTTTAGAATCATTAAAACGAGCTTATTTTGTTGTCTCAGAATAATTTTTTTTCGTTCGTGATAATTTATGTTAATTTTCAGATCATTAAGGCGGAATATTAGATTGAGAAAAATTATCAATTGTGATATTTTTTTTCTTTTTCTTTTAATCAATATTCTAAGACAGAAAAGGCTGCTCGTGATATTTGTGCTAAGCATTAAGATCTAAAAAACCGCTCTAGATTGGGATACAAGTTTGAAAATAGAATTGTTTACTCAAGGAAGCACTTTCTTCCAGTTGAGCTCAATAAACCAGTCCTCCCCTCACAACATTAGACTTAAACAAATATATATATATATATANCTGTCTGGGAAACATCACTGAGCATGATCCGAAGATATGCCATCACAATTTTGATCCCCTGCAGAGTGCATAGCTCTCCCCCTTTGGTAGCCCCATGGCCTGTGCCTGTGCGTGAACTAATGCTCTTCATTGTAGAACAGTTTGATTAGGACCGATATTGCACATTCTTGGCCCCTTCGTAGCCTAATTAAAGTGGTTACCCTCTCACTGATTGCAGTCAGTGATACTTGACTTCGATGATCCATTGGGAACCATATCTAACGCGCCACTGTGGGAGTATAAAATTTTGAAGTAGTATTCATATTATTTTCATATTATATTCTTATTATTTACTCAGCATATATCTTTTCTGACAAATTTTTATATAATTTCCAGGTAATTACAAAACTCGTGAATGACATATGATAAAATTAAATATGACACATTTTCATAAAAAAGCATTAATTTATCCAATACTATTTTTTTCATCACTTTTTTACTGTGTCGAAACAATTTACATTTTTGAATGGACACACTTAAATATATGGTAGGATATTAAAATGAGTTAACTTTTTTAGCGCCTGTTGAATTTAAATAGAATGCCTTTTTGAATTTACTAAATGAGAACATTTTGTTTGAATTTCACCATTAAGTTAGTCAATCTATCTCTTATAAGTGGGTATTACTATTTTGTCAAGTATCAATCATGACAACATAGTTTTTTTATGAAATTAACATTTCGTATGAACTTTTGAAGTCATTTTTTATGTTGAATGCAATAAAGAGTATTTTAAACTTTTCTTTTAGATCCAGGTTTGAAATCTGTATGGCTAATAAGAAGCCTATGAAGAAGTGTTTTCTTATTAAACAGATATTGGCAATAAATTTTTTTTCATCACTAAAACTGTGTGCTTCCTCAAGAAACATTAGCTTTCTAATTTCCTTACGTACGCAATTATTTTAAGAATAACCCTTTGTAAAAAAAACAAGAAAAGAAAGAATTATAAAATAGAACTATATTTTAGGTAACTCAGCACATTTTTTTTCTCATTATAATTCTAATCACAATTTTAACAAAGCATGCATTTTACCTATTTTCAGTTCAACGGCATTATCGTTTACTAACGAGATGTGCACGCATTTTGAAAGAACAAAGAGTCGGTATCATAAGAGGAATAAGAAATTAGATTTATCTGATTCAGAGCTAGTATGCAAATTTCAAAATATCGTGCAAAAAGACATGTTCAATAATTCATTTAAATAATGAACGTGTCTTATTATATGCAGCGAGAAAATGAGGGTTATTATGTTAACAAAGATTATATTATTTTTGCATTAAAATATAGTTGAAATAAAATAAATATACGAGAACAATACAGTTCTAAAAATATTTATAATTAAGTAGGAGGATCGGTCACTGCTAGCTACTCTCTCGTCATTAGTTCTCACTCATTATTTGCTTTTTTGTAAGAAACGATATTTTTCACAAAAGCAAAAAATAATCTGTTAAAAACTGCAATTACTGTAATTTATTGATAACAACAATTTGTTAATATGTTAATCTTAACGATATGAACAATTTCCTGGATTTTAAAAATAATCCTATGTACTCGAAAAAATTAAACTAGGAAATACATATTGTGTTACTCAATAAAAAAATAAATTAGAAGTAGTTTTACTCGTAAACGAGACTTGTGTCATTTGAATAGTTCAAATAAAAAACAATTCTCAATCACTCTTTAATTAAGTTATTTATTTTTTTTAAAAAATTCATTGTCATTATCAAGACCTGTCAACATCCTTTTCTCTCCATTTCTCTTTGTTATATTCGACATCATCAACTCTAGAGTGAACTTATAAAATAAAGAATTCAAGAGAGATAAATAAATTTCCCTACAACAATGAATAAAAAAATTGCAAAAAAAAGCTCTTAAAATTTCAAAAATTTACGAATAAATTGAGACTTCAAAAAAAAAAAGTTAAATAAAGGAAAACTCGAGTTAATTTCACGTATGAAAATAACACTATCATCACACCAAATTTTTACGTTGTAGTTAAAATTTCGTAAACTGTAAAGCGTCCTTCGTGGTATTTTTACAGTGAGTAATTTTCAAACGGATCTGTAAAAATTAAACATTTCTTATTCTATCATACTTCTTGAACTTTTTTAAACCCCTTCTTAATTTGAAGTGTCTAAGTCTTATACCTTTTGCGCAGAAAATAAAATGTTACGTAATACTTTGTAAAAGAATGAGAAAATAATGGTATAAAAAGGCACTTAAACTATACTTACTTTCGTGCAATTAAGAATTTCGACAAAAAAAATTCGCAGTAAGTTCATAAATAAAAATAGCCCTTTCGTGAATATTAAGTCAAAGAATATAGAAAGCAGAAAAATGTACAGCTCTTCGAATACGTGACTAAGGCGGGGAACTGGTACACTATAACAGAAAAACAACTTACAGGATGAGCAGCAGATTCAGAAAAGCATCATTTGAACTAAGAACCAGCGAAAACGCGAAAGAAGCAAAGTGAGAGAGTCACCGGTTGTTGGACAAATCTGCATACATGGCCTCCATTGAGAATAGAAACCCGAGCATTCACAATGGCTTTAACTATTGAGCCATCACAGATTAACAAATCATTTTTTATTTAAAAGTTTCTTTTCACTTTGAATTAAAGTTATCTTTAAATGAATAAACCTACCCTTCCTTCCCCAGGGACGAAGGTTCCACACTTCTGGCAGAAGTTCTTGCCGCAGTCTCCGCACATTTTGTTCGTTTCGGTGGCTAAATCAACCAACTGACACAGTGGACACAGCAACTGCGGGCAAATGTCGGTCTCGTCTTTCGCTCTGGAAAAACAATACATTTTTAATCAATCAAAGTTACAATATTATTATAATAAGTTATTTAAAAAACTATATAAACTTTTTTGACTCAAACAAATTTTTAAATGAATATACTTAGGGATACTGCACATTCTCTAAAATATAAAAATGCACAAATGTAGAAAACATGGAAAAAATTACAGAACAAAGAAAAAAGGGGAAAAAAAGAAAAATAATAAGAAACCGGGGAAAAAATCGGTAAAAAGGAAGAAAAAAAATAAAAGTCCGGAAAATAAAAGATATAAGGGCAATTCCATATGTGACGGAATGACATTTTGACTTGCATGATAACAATTAATTGAAGTTTCTATGCATCTAATTTCAAATAAACATGATTTTTTCTCATGAATATCATTATTAATGGTATAATGTGATTCATAAACTAAAAATAAAGAATTTTGTATTTTTTTTATTTTTAATTTTATGAACTTTTTACTTGTGTGACGGAATGACATTTTGGCAACCAAGCTTTCGGCATGCCGCTTAGAACTGGTAGTTTCTGTGAATTTTGCAACTATTATTTTCCTGAACTATTTTTTACTTTTAGTATAATGCGTAAGCAATGTAAATTGTGAATTTGGAAAATTAACCTCAGGTTGGCTAGCAGTTATTAACATCTATTTGCTGTGACGGAATGACCGTGACGGAATGACAAAAAGTTTAGTGGAAGAAAGTCTTCATTTAAAAAATGTTTTATTAATATGTAAATGATAAACAGAATGTAACAGATAAACA